GAGTAAATAGGCTGCCAGGAGTTGCAAAGACTTTACTTAAGAAAACAGTCAAAGAGGTAATTGCTGTAGCACTAGATGCTCTAGTGGGAAAGCTAATCAACAAAATCAATTTTATAAAAAGCTATTGCCCAGTTTTCATTCTGATAATTCTCTTGCTGGTGGTACTGGCGAACTCTTTACTGCCACTGAAATTTGTCTCTTTTCATTTGTACTAATTTCATTTGTACTATAGATTTTCTTCCCTATAGTTTGGAAAATCTTGCATATTTCCATACTTTTTATAGTTCTACCAATATAATTAAGAAAGACAGGAATTTCTAAAAATCTGAAATCCTTCTTTGATCATTGCAAGAATAAGGTGTTTTGATGCTATGCCTTGAAAAAATTTTCTATTTTCATTTTATTTTAACTGAAACCTTTTTTTACATTGCTTATATTTTGAATCCTAACCTAATACTGCTAATAAAGATGATAGTACCTCAAAATAGATACTGAATAAAAGGATTGCCAAGTAAACTATGCTAGATAAAATGTATATTTAAAATGTGAAAAAATACTCCAAAAGAATGGAAAAATTAAGAATCACTAAGAATCGTATTTAAAAATTATACTTTGTTTCAATCTGATATACTGTAAAATTACTTCCTCCTTACTTTAAAAAATTAATATAGATTATTTTCTATCAAAATTATTTCAAGTGAGATACATTTAAAATAAGCTTTATTTTTAAAGAGAGAGAACACATTACATATAAGAAAACTTTTGATGTTATGCAGAGAAGGAAGCATGAAATAGGAAGATTAGTCTACTTGGTTGACACATGGGATAATTAGTCAATATTACAGGTTTGATTCCTATGTGAGTTGATTTTAACCAATTATATAACTATAGAAATGACTCCCCCACAAAAGGGGGCTTATTGAGTATTGTGATAATAGCATACATGTGGTAATCACCATATTGAGGAAAAAAGCACCTGAAAGCACATATACTGAGAACAGATTGTTAATATAATCACAATCTTGGACATTAAGAGCAGCATAATTGCCTAGAGGTTATGATTACACACACACACACACACACACACACACACACACACACACACACACCATGAATATATAGAGGGAATTAATTGTTCATATTTGAGGAATGCAGGAAGAAGTATACAGGAAATGGTATAAATAAAATGATATGATATAAATACAATGATATAAATAAAAGAATATAATGAGATGTGCATATTTTAGAGGTATAATAAAGTTTATGGATTAAAGTCTAAAGAGATGAGAATACCAGAAAGAAAATATGAGTGAGTTCAAGCAGTCACATTGAAAAATCTAAAGCCAATGCCAGCCCAGACCAACATCCCAGGAGGTATTTGCATGCAAATGGGATCATCCTAGGTGAAATCTTACTAGACTGGAGTCAATAAATTAGATAATAAAAACATATGCTCTCACTTGAAATATTTGAATAACTACCCAAATTCTTTGCTTCAATTTTGTAAAACTCAATCAGAAATAAGCTCAAAAGCTGTAAAAACTGTTGTTTAGGCTACATTTTCTAATGAGATAGGGAGCACATGATCTAGGTAGGTAATGTAAACTTGACTACAACAAAATAATGCATAGGGATCCAGAGATTATTCATGTGGATAAACAAATGGAGCTGAGCAAAGGGATTCTAGCTTTGACACTGTAATTTTTAGGTGCTTATCTCAGGTCTATAATCTCAGAATCCTCATGGAGAAGGGAAGGGGATCAATCAATTACTAAATTCAAAATATGGCAGTTTAGTGAAAACTAGAAGATTTACATATATTATTTCCTCTAATAGTATCTCACAATTATCTTATTGGGTAGACATTATTTCTATTTTTATGGATGAGAGAAATAAGACTCAGAAGCATTATGTAGCTTGCCCAAGGTCTCTCAGCTAGTTAAAAGTGAAGCAAGGTAAAGAATATATTTGATGGCAAGTTCCTGCCAGTATACTTTGCCTTTTCATTATTTTCTCACAGCTCCTGAATCCTCAAGAGGAATTGAAGAATTCCTAGCATGAGCTGTGAACGATTTTGGTGAGGAACTCCTACTGTCTGAAATCAAGAGCTTCTGAATTTCTTCTAGAGGCAGTAATTTCTGCCTACCTTCAGGCAATTATCTAACTGTAAGTCAGAGACAGGGAGAAATACCTCTGCTGTGGTCAGTATTCTAATCAAGAGACACTCCACTGCTTCCAAATGAGTTTCAACATCAAAGCTTAAAGTTTCCTTGACTAGAATTACTTAAGTCTTTTGTGGAAAAACAAAGATCTAAGGTTAGAGATGCTAAAGTCTTTAATCATTTAATCTTAAAAAAGAAAGCCTTGAGCTAGTGATCTAAAATAATGATCCTAAGAAAACATAATCATTTCTATTAAAAGCTCATAGTTTTTCCATTGTTAACTAAAAGAGACTGGGAATTATAGAGAATGGTGCCAGAATATTTTAATCTGCTTTATAGTAGCTAGTACAGTACCAAATATGAAGCTGTAATTTATTCATGCAAACCACTTCATAAGAACATGAGTCAGAAGTGGCAGTCTTACATATATTATCACCTGTTATTATACTAGGAATGCCTCTCACAAGAAGCCAAAGGAAGATATTTATAATGAGTGGAGCACTTGTTCCTTAAAGGCTTGTTTGCAAGTAGAAGCTGAAAATAGTAGAAGTGCATCTATAGCCAAACCAGGTGAAAACAAACAATACATACACAGACATCTAGGCACTTGCTTTAGAAGGATAATTTTCAATATTTTATTAGACAATAATCCATGATGTTAATAATAAAGACCTAAATCAAAATAAGAGCTTTGGGAATAGAAAACAAGGGATGGATCCAAGAGGATGTAGAAATAGCAAGTATTGTAGAGGTAAAGAATGTAAGTTTAGTTTTGGTCATATTAAATTTACTAACAAATTTAATATGTGGCTCAATGTTGAGTGTCGTCCCATGAACCAAGAGGTCACCAATCAGGGCACATGCATGGGTTTCAGGTTCTATCTACAGTGGGGGGTGTGCAGGAGGCAGCTGGTAGATGTTTCTCTCTCATTGGTGTTTATATTTCTATCCCTCTCCCTTTCTCTCTCTCTAAAATCAAAAGAAACATATTTAAAAAATTTACTAGGAGCATGTATACATTTGGTGTATAAGTCTAGAGCTCAGGCAGGGTTTAGGCAAGTGATACTGATTTAGAAATAATTTAATAGGTGGCATTTGAAATCACTGGCATGCATGAGGTTATTTGAAGTGCATGTGCAAGATGTGAAAGGACCAAAACCGAAAATGCTAAAGAAAGCTTACATTCAAGGAATGGACAAAGGCAGGCAAGCCTCCAAAAAAGCCAATAAAGGAGACAATTATCATGTTGTTTTCCTGTTTCTCTTCTGCACTATACATGAGATCCATGGGGCAGAAGTGTTTTATTCACCTTTGTCTATCCAGAACTTAACTAGTACCTATCATTTGGTAGCTGCTTAATAAATATTTATTGAACAAAATGAATTATGTTCTATATATAGTGATATTTTTTTAAAATAAATTTTTTATTGATTTTTTACAGAGAGGAAGAGAGAGAGAGAGAGAGAGAACTAGAAAGGTCGGATGAGAGAAAAACATCGACCAGCTGCCTCCTGCACAGCCCCCCACTGGGGATGTGCCTGCAACCAATGTACATGACCTTGGCCGGAATCAAACTCAGGACCTTCAATCGGCAGACCGATGCTCTACCGCTGAGCCAAACCGGTTTCAGCTGGTGATGTTTTTTAAACACCTACTTAAAGTGCCTAGGAGGTTTAATGATAATACTCTCTGCATGAAAAATTGAGTTTGATCCAACTCAAAGGTAGAATGCACACTTCATCTTCATGGGTGGTAGCACTTGACAAAAAATTTAACCATCCATGAAGAGTTTGCTAACTTATAAGTGACAACTGATTTGATGAACAAATGAAGGAGAAATAAGCACACAAAGAAAAAAAGAGAATCCACCAGACAGCTTATTTATTTATTTATTTATTTATTTATTTTGGTTTGTTTTTTTCCCCCTAGAAGAAATTTATCAATAGCCATTTTCAATTCTGTTATTTCCCCCTCCCTTAAAAGAACTAAAATTTCTGTTAAATGACTTGGCATATTCTGAGATTTTTCTAAAAACTGCTGTTAGGGAAAACTCTCCTGAAATTCCAAGGCCAGAGAAGGTTAATTTATGTTTTTAATAGGTAAAGTATTATCAACATTTTTTCCAACTTAATTTACATTTATATTTTCTGAATATGTCTTGGTGTTTATTGATATAAAAATATCTGAATATTCTACATTTAATAACAGAAAAAACCTATTTCATCAAAATTGATTTTGAAATCATTTAGTTAATTCCTATCTAATTCCCCGTTCTAATGAGTTTCTAATCTTTAGATCCTTTAGTGAGAAGTAATAAAAAACCAAAAGTTTAAGCCAACTAATATACATATTTAAAAAATGCAAGTCAGAGATATAGGATTAGGGTGAATTACATAAAAACAATTTTTGTCTAAGTAGCATCAGTGAACAAAGAGCTAGAATTTGACATTTAAAATTTCACTACTATTAGGCCTTTTAATTTTAACATAATTTGTTTGGTTATCTATTGTTTTTTTTAAAAAATATATTTTTATTGATTTCAGAAAGGAAGAAAGAGGGAGAGATAGAAACATCAATGATGAGAGAGAATCATTGATTGGCTGTCTCTTGCACACCCTCACTTGTGATCGAGCCGACATCCTGGGCATATGCCCTCACTGGGAATCTAGCCATGACCTCCTTCGTAAGAAGATGCTCAACCCCCAGTCCATTCCAGCCAAGCTCTGTCATTATTTTTTTTACACTGTAATACTGGAAGAAGAGCACTGTCATGTTTATTAATTTTCTATGAATCTTACGTGGAGAAAAGTGAAAGGCAATGGACAGATATTATAGTACCTCGGTAGTTGATGATTTCTGTCCCAAGCACCGGAGTCATCTCCAGGACTGTGATGAAGGCTTTGTCCATAGATGTTAGAGGAAAAGGAGACATGCGGTGTCTTCTAGCCACCTTGGTGATATCAACAGCACTGTGACCTAAACAGGAAGATAATTAACTAAGAATATGATGCTGAAACACTGATTAAAACATGGGACTGACTCATAAATATCAACAACCCTTGTTTCTTATATACCCAAATGAAGAATACACGGTGATAAATTTTCTCTTGCCAAAATATAACCATCTTTGGTGGAACATTACATCAAGTTAACAACATTACCTCATGTGTCAAAACTTGGTGAACTTTAAAGATAATATTACCTAATTCTTTTTAAAAAATATTTTTATTTATTTCAGAGAAGAAGAGAGAGATTGAAACATCAATGATCAGAATCATTGACTTGCTGCCTCCTACATGCCTCACACTGGGAATCAAACCGTCAGCCTGGGCATGTGCCCTGACCGGGAATCGAACCATGACCTCCTGGTTCATAGGTCAATGTTCTACCATTGAACCACACTGGCTGGACTGCCTAGTCCTTTTTACAGGTTACTATGTGTCATGGCACTGTTCTAATTTAACTGAATCATTATAGCAACCTTATAGGAAAGCATCATTATTATCCTTATTTACAGATAAGGAAAGAGAGGTGTAGAGAGATTATATGTTTTGGTCTGAATCACGGAGATAGTAACAGAAGAGCCACATTTCAAGCCTAGGTAGCCTGGCTTCAGAGTCCACGTGCTTAATCATTATACTAAACTTTGAACATTTAATGTGCTAGTTAGTAAAATGCAATACCCAAACTTGATCTTATCTAGGATTTTATAGAACATTTTCTTTCTCCTGAAAACAGTCATAGAAAAAGGTTATTACTTAGCTACTCCCTATATAGCTTCATCTAGTCCCATGAAATTAATATCATCCATTCACTAAAATTCCTAATTTTATATCTCTAATCCCAACCTCTACTCACGACTCTAGTTTTGTAGGCCATGCAAATAGCCAGTGGATAAAAATAGATATATTTCCTAACCTATTAATATAAATCATCCAACATGGATTTAGATATGTAACAGCTATTTCAAACCTAACCTGTCCAAATCAGACTCTTGATTCCCCACTCTCCTATCGTATCCAAACAATTCCTGTTCTCAGAAAATAGCAATTGTGTTCTTCCAGTTTATTAGTCTAAATCATTGGAGACATTCTTAATTTTTCTCTTTTTGTCAGAACCATATCTAAACTACCTTTGAAATACCTCTAGGATCTGATCATTACTCACCATCTCTACTACTGCCACAATGGCTGAAACTATCACTTATTTTTTGGGAAACTGGTCTCCCTGCTTCTATCCTTGTCCACTACAATTTATCCTCCACAAAGTAGTTACTGTAATCCTTTTAAATTGTAAATAAGATTGTGCTAATTTCTGCTCACACCCTCCAATGGTTTTCCATTTCACTTAGAGTAAAAGCTTTGCTAAAGTTTATAAAGCCCAACATATTATGGCCCCAAACTGTGCTCACCTATCATTTTCCCCCTTGTTCTCTATACTCTATATTGGTTCTTTGTCCTTGAGTATGCCAAATGCATCTCTTTTCAGGGTCTTTATATTTGCTGTTTTTTATTTTATTTTTATTAACTTGGACCTTTCTTCCCCAGATATGATTCCTTCTATTCTTCATTTCTTTCAGGTCTTTGCTAAAATATCACCTCATCAGAGGTCTTTGTTAAACATCATATCCTATATAATAAAAGCCTAATATGCTAAGTGTCTGGTCAGCCAGTTGGCCATTCAACCAATCAAAGTGTAACATGCTAATGATATGTTAAGGCTGCTCAACTGCTTGCTATGATGTACACTAATCACCAGGGGCAGACGGTCAACCAGTTGCTATGACGTGCACTGACCACCAGGGGGCAGATGCTCTGAACTGTAGGTTCAGCTTGCTGCTGGGGTCCAGCCAATTGGGACTGAGCCTGATGGGTTGGACACACATTGGAGCCCCCCCGGGATGCCTCCCTAGCTGCCCAATCACTTGCATCCCTTCCCAGCCCAAATCATGCACCAGTGGGGTCCCTTGGTCTGGCCTGCGCCCTCTTGCAATCCAGGACCCCCTTGGGGGATGTTGGAGAGCTGGTTTTGACCAGATGGCAGAACAACCTGTTGCTATGGTGTGCACCAGGGGCTGAGGACCAACATAGGAGCTCTACCCTGGTGGTCAGTGCATTCCCACAGGGGGAGCGCCTCTCAGCCAGAAGCTGGGCTCATGGCTGGCGAGTGCAGTAAGGGTGGCAAGAGCCTCTTCCGCATCTATGGCAGTGCTAAGGATGTTCGACTGCTGGCTTAGGCATGGGGAACGGGCCTAAGCTGGCAGTCAGACATCTCCTGAGGGCTCCTGGACTTCAAGAGGGTACAGGCTGGGCTGAGGGACCCTCTACCCCCAAGTGCATGAATTTCATGCACTGGCCCTCTAGTATAGAATATTACATACCATCACTATTCTCCTTACCCTACTTTACTTTTCTTTATGGATATGTACATATATCTGAATATATGTATGTGTGTGTGTGTGTGTGTGTGTGTGTATACATATATATATGGATATTTAAAATATATACTTATATTTATTTGTGTTTTAGCCTTTTAAGGACCATGTAAGCTCCATGAGAGCAACAACTTTATCTTTTTGTTCAGTGTTGTTATCCCCAACACAGTATCTGGCAATAAAAATAAAATATTTGTTGAATTAATAAATTAATCCTTTAGTGACAAAAAATGACTTCTTAGAATACTATATCTTCATTCATAAATAACTTGACCTTTTCTTTGGAACCTTAAAGGTCTATAGTTCAAAGGGTAAACAGAAAAGGAGTAACTGCATATACTGTTTCTTGGCTATGCTAAATGCTATCCACAACTCCCTTCTTCACTAGCCATCTTGCAGCTACAAGTGTTCATATGATATAGTTCTGACCAAAGACATGTAGGAAATCCACAGGGAATGTTTCACCATTACAAATAAAAAGATAAGAATATGAAGCTTTAAGATGCTTTTGCCTTTAACTCAGGTTTATAGATCTCAGATTTAATCTTTCCTACAATAAGCTTTCTTTATGTTGCAAATTTTGTGTAATTTTATAAAAGCTGTCCTTTTAAAATGTTGTTCCTAAGGAGAAAACTGTACTTTTTAACTGTGCAGACTTTGTCGAATTTGTATTGTAACAGAATAGAATATTTTTTATTACAAAGCAAGTCTGATTATCAGTGACACATACTCACTGACAAATATTTATCCAATGCATTTTACGTGCTAGGAACAGTTAGGGACTAGGGAAACACAGAGTAAGCTATACCCTTCCATGAAGAACATTACAGCTCAGCAGAAAGAATGAGCATGTAAGTAGATAAAAAATAAATAAAAGCAGGAGGTTATGAACCCATCTAATGGCTCAAACTACAGAAATAAGTAGTTCTCTCTCTCTCTCTCTCTCTGTCTCTTAATTTTAAGGAAATTGTAATGTGGATATCTATCAGCCTGAAAAAGTATTCCCTACCTTTAAAATAATTTGCTCCTTGCTTACATTTTTCTTATGGCACCAATCACCCCCCATTTTATGTTAAAGGCATTTAAATATCTGACTTCCCTATGTGAGTCAATTGTAAACTCCTTGAAGGCAGGTTCTATGTCTTATTTATATTTATATCATTTGCCATATTTAAAACAGCGTTTGTCCTTATATTTACAGTAATTACTGAATAAATACTAATATGTATGAATAACAAATCTTCCAAACAAAGTCAAGTTGGGGAGGGGAAGACACAGTGATGCTTTCTCTTCTGCCCTTTTGCTTCTCTAAGCCCTCCAATATTTATAGAATCTCTGCTACAAAGTGATTGGTCACTGAATAAATAATACAAACTTTGATGCAATGCCTTAATATTGGTCCCTGTCTAAACTATTTGCTTATTATCACGGGGCATTCTGGATATATAGTAAATTAAGTGAAAGAAATGTCTCAAAGGATGAGTATTTTAATTTTCTGGCACATTAACAGGTACCGTATTTTTCCGGTGTATAAGACGACCCCCTAATTTTACAGTTAAAACATAGATTTAGGCCTATATTCGTTGTATAAGACTACCCCCCACTTCCGAGGCAACACCAGTTCTTTTTTTAATAGACCGCCTCTCTAACTCAGCCAACCCAAGCAGGCTTTTTATGCATGCAAATTATACATGTTCTGTACCCGAAGCTACACTGTGTTCTAGTAAAAAGCCTGCTCAGATTGGCCAGAGTCAGAGAGGCGGTCTATTAAAAAAAGAACTGGTGTTGCCTCGGAAGTGGGGGATAGTCTTATGCAGCGAATATAGGTATAAACCTATGTTTTAACTGTAAAATTAGGGGGTTGTCTTATACGCCGGAAAATACAGTATGCGTGTGTTCTTAATATTTACTGAGCACATTCTATGTGCCAACAGGTGTCTTCCCATTCAAGACCCATTCAAAATCACACTAAGAATAGTCAGCTACTTCACTAATGAAGAAGGTTTAATTTGGTCCTATAAATATGAGAAGACAGTATTTGTAACTGACCTACACACAAGAATAAAATAAAGTAGACAACAACTGCTCTTTTTATGAAAAAGAACTACTAAATAACATTAGCACACCAAGTTGTGTTTTATGTCTCAAAATATGCGAGATGACTATTTGTCCATATTAGATCCTGGTTAAAAAAAAAATTATAGCCAAAATAAGTTTGAAAACCATTGATCTAGGTGACCCAGTGCTCTCATTTCCAAATTAAAAGTGAACAAATATTGCTCCAGGGACAGCACCAGGGACAGACACAGAGGAACCTGCGCCTGGAGGCCTAGGCTCACACAGCACTCCCATGTACAATAGGGGGTCTCCTGCAGGCTTCCCAAGGGCAGCCAATTTTTATAAGGCATACATTTCCAAAGTAAATCTGGTAAGCAAATACTTATGTTTGCTTTTGTGTTTGTTTACATTAAAAAACACACACACGTAATTTCAATAAAGAAGACAATTGTTTTCTGATGTTTACACTATTGATTTACAAGAA